ATACGTACGTACAGACGCCACGAAAAATTCTCTTCAGAATTCATTTTAAAGCAGTTTTATATTTTTTTTTTGGAGGAAAGGAGGAAAAGTCTTTTATATTGTCCTTACATAGAGATGTCACGCAAAAACATAGTTAAATTGCATTAGATAGCGCTCAAAATGTTAGTCGTTGAAATATGCTGCTTGAAAATTTTCGCGATTACAATACTTCCTTTTTACTTCATACAAAAAAGTAAAAATGTTATTAGAAGCAACTTTTGTTGATTACAGTAATGCTGAAAACATTCACAGAAATTCTTAAATGGGTATTGTATTAATTCATTATATTGTTACGAATTTTGTACATATAAAGATGATTTTAGTGCATTTATATGTGAAATTGCATTATTTTTCTGCATAATACAATATGAAAATCTAGAGAATCGATGCTCTGCCGGAAAATTAAAAATACAGGGGCAAATCTATTATCATTTAGTAATTGGCTTCTCACTAATTTGGCGATATCTCGCCAAGCTGGTAACGGTCTATTTTTGTAGCTAAATTTGGCGAGCAACTGCCAAAGATTGCCAAATTTCGCGATCATTTGGCGACATTTTGGTCCGATCCTTGTATCACCTTGGCATTGTAATTGAATAAATGTAATTGATTTCATGTGCAACCATAACTGTATTCATCCCTCATATGCCTTCTAGTAATTTCAAGAAGCAGAAAGTACTACAGATATCTCTGTGACCGGATGAAAATGATGTAAGATTGGAGAAGACATCAGTTCCTCAGTTGAAGTTGTGAGTTATCAGTTCAGCGTGAGTTCGGAGTACCGAGATAACTCCGCGTTAGTTTTGCTCTTTAGATGCTTTTTGCATTGCGTTGTGTTTATCGTTCTTAGTAGTTTGAAGTATAACTACTGATTGTACTCTGCGATACTGTGAAGAGTCTTATGACTATTTTCGTGGAAAGTTCCAGAGCTCTGAAGTTTTTCTTTTGGTAAAATAAATTTTATCAATTTATCATTGGACTTGTGTGCATTTAATCTTCTGCGAATCCGTGCTCATGCAAAAATATTCTAATTTATATCAGTCACATACATTACTGCTTTGAAAGTAAAATAATGATTTAAATTATCAAAACCGCTTTTGTTTTTAAATCTTTCAATTTATTAATGAGTACAGATAGGAAGGGACAATGAGAGTTTCACAATTGGCAATACAGATGCATTTCTGCCACAGTAGCTATTCATTTCCTCCCAGTTTGGAAGAAGAACTCATTAGACGATGGTCCTAAAGTCCCCCACTTTTGATCCCCAACCACCAACCCTTTAAGATTACTTTCGGCTCGCCGTATATTTTGAGTGCCTCACTGTGGCACAGACACTATACAGCTATAAACATCCATACTTTCCCCGAGATTCGAACCCAAGAACACCGATACAGCAGCAAAAGGAGACGACCGACGAGGATGGCTTGCTAATAGGTAACAGAGTTATTAATTAATGCAGAATGGCAGCATACAGATAAGAGGTTCCATGTGAAGGTGCATGGAAAATAAAGGTCTTATTTTTCTCGTAGTGGTAGTGCTTATCAATTCCAACTATTTCTAGATTTTTTTCAGTTTTTTTCAACCGTCAATTTTTCCAAGACAGGATTTTAATGTTAAAGGAATATAATACTCGTCTTCTGACATGTAACAGGAAACATATTCGAATGAACTAAGTAATTTTTTTCTAGAATATTAATTAGCTTTGAAATGAAGGATTGTTTAATATTACAAAACTAATGACGAGAATCGTTTTCAAAATATTTTTTAACTTAAAATCAGCTGTTTAAAAAATTAAATACTTTTCATAACAATTTTTATAACAATTTAATTGATATGAAAACATGCGTATAAGGGATATATTTAAAACTTATAATCTCAAATATCTGTCCTCAATATTTAGAACTCAAAGAGAACTACAGATTATAACACTTACGTTTTTTAAATAATCAGAACTTCGCACTTGGATGTTTAAATCTTAGTGATAATCATGTTAATATTGCATGAAGACGGTCAACAAACGTAATAATGACAAGCAGTTTTACTTTAGAAAATTAAAACTTCCTTAGAATAATCAAGTTTTTAAATTCTGTTAATTAAAAAAAAGTTTAATTTCTACTCTGCACAAGTTTAGAACTGCTAGGATTACTTAAAAATAACCTGTTTGATTTGGTATTCATTTTTTTCACAATCAGTATACAACAATATTAAAAAAAATTTCATAGTCATAAAACGTTTCCAGTCTAAGTTTCGGGAGGAAATTTAACTTGTCTCAGTAAACCCTTGTTAATACAAACGCCAAGGGAATGAAAAATCAAGAATTCGTGTTAAAAAAATTCATGTTAACTTGGAGACCCAAAGTTTTTTCTACACCAGTGATTCTCAACCACTGTGCCGCGGCACTTTTGTGTGCCGCCAAATTCTTAAAATGTGCCACCAAATTTTAGAAACGTATATAGGTTTAATTCTAGTATACGGTACACATGAAAATAGGTGAAATTTGATTTTTAAGACATTAAGAACTACGCCAATTTTGGTATCCAAGCCGATTTTGGTGCCAAATACTTCTGTATTTGAGTTAACTTTGAACGAAGAGGAAGAACTAACTTCGCTTTCTAATAATCGAGATCTAATTTAAAAATATTCGGAAGAATTAATTAATTCGTTTTGGATTAACATTAGATGTGATTTTCCCACGATGGCCAAAAATGCTTTAAAAATATTATTACAGTTTTCTACATCTTATTTGTGTGAATTCCGATTTTCATTATTAATCAACATAAAAACGAAAAAAAGATCGAGACTGTTAAATGTAGAAGAGGGTACAAGAGTAGAATTGTCATTTTTTACGACCAAATATAAATGCAATTATCAAAAACATCAAACTCAAATTTCTCATTAAAAGTTTTCTTATTATCATTAACTTTCAATTAATGCCTTAATAAATGTAGTGCTGTTTTTTTAGTACATATTATTTTATTTTACATTCAAAATTATTATCATAAACTATTTTACACAGTGTATTATTTAGGTAAGTAAACAACTTTTAAACTTATCTTTTCCTTTGTGTGCCGCCAAAGTTTGAAATAAGTTGAAAGTGTGCCGCGACAAAAAAAGGTTGAGAATCACTGTTCTACACATTAACAATTTACAGTAATGTGAGAGTATACGTAACTGTAACGGTATATCATCGTATTAGTACATTAATTACTGTACTGTAACTTGTACACCACAGTACTACATTAATTACTGTACTCTAACTTGTACACCACAGTACTACATTAATTACTGTACTCTAACTTGTACACCACAGTACTACATTAATTACTGTACTGTAACTTGTACACCACAGTACTACATTAATTACTGTACTGTAACTTGAGAAGCTGTATTCACTGATCGTTTTCTGGTGAAAAATGCATGTTATATTGCGCTATCACAGACAGAAATGAAACTACCTTGTGACTTGTAACTTCACGGACAAGTGCACTCTCGTCTTCCGTAAAACTAGACGGATGTTACAGCAAAACGACCTGAATTCGTAAATTACAAAACGACATGAATTTGGATGTTCAATTCGGATGTTAATGCAAAACGACCTGAAGTTTCCAAGGCGTGTAACACTTCCTGGTGGGTGAGGAGGATATTGTCCGCCTCACTTTCTTCCTATAACATTTCTTGCAATCCAGAATAAACCAATTTCACTGGAGCACACACGACAACAACGTCCCCTGCGCTAACAAACTCCACAAAAATTGCCACCAGGGCTGGCAACATGTTTACCTAATTATTTATGTAATGTGAAACTAACTAAAGTTAAAACTTACTATTTAAGTAATGTAAACTAAGGTGAAACATTAGTCGTACTAGCTAACTTTTATATAATAATAAGGCACATATGAAAACGGTCTGCATTTGTTGATTGAAGCCCATTGTTGACGCAATGATCGCGATTGCCAATCAACGCAATATTCGTATTCTGTGAAGTTTTCAATTAAATGTACCAGGATATTTCTTAACGCAGACTTAGTAGAGAAGCAATAGAAAATAATATAAATAATAAATAATAATTCGTAATTCGTGCTAACTGAAATTCGCATTGACGTATAAAATTCCCTGTACATTGCCGACGATGTGGAAATTTTGTTCAAGTTAACCGACTGTTCACCTTAAGCGAGTTCGTGTTAAGGGGGTTTTATTGTAGTAAAAGTATTTGTTGAAATAATTCTTCAGAACTTCAGATCATTTTAATTTCTATTCGTTAAATATTAGACAGAGCACAAATATATGTCCATCTATTACAGTACACAATCCGTAATCCGGACTCGTCGGAACTTCGATTTCGGATTAGGGGTTTTTCCGGATTATAGATTATCAATTTAAATCTGGTAAGATGGCATGCAGAAATTATACAATTAAAAATATGAAACCGTAATTTATGAAATAGAGCAATTATGATCTAAAGGTATCAAAATTTACAAAAAGAAAAAAGTTTAATATTTATTTGCTTACTTTATTAAACATTTCTTTCAATGTAAGTTGTTTACGTTGCTTCGTTTTGTGTGCCAAACGCGCATGCGTAAAGCATACAAAGAAAAAAAGTTTGTGGCTTTGAGGTCCGGATTATAGATCATTCCGAATAATGGACGTCCGGATTGCGGACTTTGCACTCTATCAATTTTCTAAATTCTTTCATCACGGGTAGCTTTTGGCCAATTATTAAAATTATAAATCCTGCTTAAAATTTAACAAATGAAAATTATTTCTTGCTATAATTGTAACAGGTTAGTCTGTGTTTGGTAAATAGACCACTGAATGTATTTCGCTGTGATTAATTAATTAACTGAATATAAGCAGGAAGTTTGTGTTAACTTAATTACCTGTTTTTAATTTAAGTTTTTTTATTTTTATTTTTATTTTTTTTATTTTTTATTTTTTAACTGAATTTAGGATTTTTTCTATTTCAGATACAGAAGTGACCTTCCAAGATCCGGACGGTGCCATTGTTATTTACAATGCCCAAACGAATGAAGAAACAATCATAGTTAAAAATGTTACTTTAGTAAGTATAACATGACGTTTTAGAACATATTTTAAGCAATATAAGTAAAACTAGTACCTACTCGTTCAGAAATGTATGAAAATTAACACCATTCTTCTATTCAATCAGCTACTCAGCTACGAGATTTGTATAACAATAGTGGCAACACATCGATAATTCTAAGAAAGATTTTTACTACCAAAAGTACAAACACTTACAGTTCCTCAATGTAGTCGCCTTCCATGTCCATAGATTCTTCTCAGATTACTGATATACTATAGTTATCAGTAATTTGAGAAGGTAAGAGGAAAGAAGAGAAATAATTTGATTGGAGACGAGAGAGAAGACTTTGAGAAGTAATTTGATTAGGGCTGAAGACCTACGTCCCTTCTCTTCTTCTGTTAATGGCCCACAGCGATCGCCCTAAAGCACGAATAACTTTTTTCTCTATACTTGCGATAGGTTCTTCGTAGTGCTTCTTTCATTTTGGCAAGGAGATCGCACTCGTAGACCATTTTCGAATAAATATGGCGGATGATCCAACATCAATGGTTACCTTTGCATGAGATTTGTGTTGACGCTTGTATTAAGACGCGCTCATTATCCTGGAGGAGGACGGAACGTTAACACTTGAGACATCACTTGCGCCCGGAAAACAGGAGAAAAAGATGACTGTTGGTGACCAGTCCCATCTTCCTCCAAGACAAAGCGCCTTATTATAATACGAATGCTATCAAAAATTCCAGCGGTAACTATAGAATGTGCTGGACATTATCATATTCATCCATATGAGTCAGCGTGAATATGACCTCTTCGTCAAAATGGAATAACTGCTGCAAATAATTCATTATAATAGAAGAGAAGACGTTATCTACAAAAGCCGCATTTTGCGACAATCGCTGCAAAGCACCAACAGAAGTCGATGTGTTGATGGTGTGTGATGCCGTCCATTAACATGGCAGGAGGTTGTGCCAGGTTAATATTGTGCATATTCTATTCTAAAGAATAACGATGAAATAGGGAGTTGTATATTGTGGCAACTTTCTGGAACTCTCTGAATGATAAGGAAATTTCTACAAATTGTATTTCTATCAAAGGCACCTAGCTCTTTATATTTGTTCATTTTAATATCAAGCACGTTCATCTTTTCATTGCTTATATAACGTTAAATGTTTTCCTCCGGGTTACTGTAAAAATTGTTAAACATGTATAATCCAACTCTACTTTGCGAGACGAGTTGAAGAATTTTTATCACGCTCTTTAATCGTCTTTGTTATACAACCAGTACAACAGAAAACAGGACCTCTAAATTTATTATCCTTTGCAGAACGACGGGATACGAATGGTTTTACAAATTTATCATTTCCATTGTTAAAATTTACAATAATTGTAGGGTAACAATCATTCAAATATACATGTTAAATTCAACAAATATACATGTTAAAAAACAGGCTACATTTGGTATTTGATAACTTGAAGTGAAGAAACTCAGTGCATTTTTGGCAGACATATGTTCTTTGCTCTTACAGGAAGAGTCCAGACATACACCCTGGACTCTTCCTGTAAGAGCATATTCTATGCCAAAAATGTTACTTTACACCTCTTAAAAATATAAGAAAAAATTGACCCAGTATATTAACAGGAGAATTATAAAAAAAATACTTAAATTGTTTGAACTTATATAAATCATGTTTCATAATACTTACTATCATAGATACATATTTTTACTTCCTTCTACAAAGTAAAGGACGTATTGTAATCGCGAAAAATTTTATATCATATTTAAAGAAATTAAATAATGAAGAATCTGTATGAATGTATGAATGTTTTTCGCATTGTGATAAAACAACGAGCCATCAAAATTTGAATAACGCAATCTTCCACAGAATACGGGCATGTGGAAGCCCTAATTGAACTCATTTTATTATTAGTTCAAAGTGGCTTTGTCCCTGAAGGACTATTGTTTTCATTTTGCGATTTTGCGTTGAAACACTATAAATGTCCGTTTCACTTTTCAAACTGTTGCCACCAAATGTCCAACTTGATCAAATTTATGGTTTGAGTCCTGGATTATATTTGAAGAAATAAAACAATGAAAAATCTGCATAAATGTATGTATATTTCTCGCATTGTGATAAAACAACGGTACATAGAGCCATCGAATTTTGAATGACGTCATTCTCCTACGAATATGGAAAATATGGACATGTGGAGGACCAAATTTGAAATTTGAAATTTGTTTTATGATCGATTTCATATTTTGTAAAACTTTAATGAATTTTTGAGTAACAAACTAAACGATTTAAAAGCGAGCAATGGCACCATTCTACGGCGGGGAGGGGGGAACCTTTGTATCTCTAGTGGGCACGGAACTGTGTATCGGAAATTCTAAAGATAGGCTCATTTTAAAATTATTTTGTGACATTGCTATTGAACTGAATTTTATGGTTCAAGTGCAGAGACTAGGATATTTAATAAATAAAGATAACACACAAAACGTTGAAAAAACGCCCCTTTGGGCGTAATCTAAAATCTGAAAACTTGCAGATTATTTTTCTATTTCATATTTTGTAAACCTTTAACGAATTTTTGATTAACAAACTCAACGATTTAAAAGCGAGCAATGGCAACACTGTATGGAAAGAAACAATTTTATCTCCAACGCGCGAGACTCTGTATCGGAATTTCTAAAGGATACGTTCATTTTAAAATTATTTTGCGATATCGCTGTTGAACTGAATTTTATGCCTTGAGTACGTAGAACATGATATTTAATAAATAAAGGTAACACACAAAAATTTAAAAAACGCCCCTTTGGACGTAATTTTAAATCTGAAACCTTTCAGATTTTGGGGGGTGTATTATTCACTGTAGCTTGAATGTCGTTTATGTCTTCATAGCGGTGACACTTCACGTGAAGTCTGACGTTCAGTAAGAAAAAAGTCACTGGGTGCCAGATCGGGAGAATATGGAGGGTGGCTGAGAACAGTTCACTTTTTTCCTGCTAGAAACTGCACCACAATTTCAGACGTGTGAGTGACCTGGTACATTGTCATGAAGCAAGAAGACATCTCTCACCTTTCATCATTCCAGACGAACGTTCTGAATCCTCTTAATCCTCTTGCTTAACCGATCCATGACGACCAGATACAACTGGGAATTGGATTTCCAGTTATGATTATTATCTGGCAGAAAGAAAACAATTGTTGTAACTTTTCGGTCAGACGCTATCTTCTGTTCAAAAAGTTTTTTCTTTTCTTTTTTTTTTCGGGGGGGAGGGGGTCGCAGAATATTCTTCTTTCTTAGTGCTTTTCTCTAGCGGAATCTTTACTACGAAAAGTGTTTATAAATTATTCCTAAATAAGCTAACTAAAGCACAGTCAGTGTCTGCAGGAAATAAGTATTTTAATTATTATTTTATTTCTTTTTTTCTTTCTATTCATAATACTTCTTATCTATTCCTATTCGTTTTAGTATTTCGTTTCCATTTCCATTCATTCTATTTCTTTCTTCTTCTATTTATTCTATTTCGTTTTCATTTATACATGATGGTGCATGAAATGCGATTCTTTTACCTAGACACTAAGTTATCTTTGAGCATAATTAACTTAATTCTACTCACAAAACTAGACGCTGTAGTGAGATTTAAAATTATGTTTATTTTGTAACTAAACCCTTCAATTTACCTTTAATTCAGAATCTGGGTGTAATTTATCTAATCAAAATTCACCGAGCTTAAAAATATTATAGTATTCCCAGTGTTTTGCCTTACCATTTAAAAGGAAATAACTATGTTATTTTACGAAAATCATTTCCTTATGTTAAAACATTTCAGCGGTATATTTTCTCAGCTTATATTCTCTTGCGATAAATTTTAATTCGAATGCGATAAAAATAGCTTCATTTAAATGTCAACAGTTAATGCTTTAATAAAATATGCGCATTTTTCATTTCTTAAATTTCCAGACAAGAAATGATTCTGTTGTATTATGATCGTCATTAAGGTAATGAAACATATTGCATGTATTTTGTACAAATGAAGCTCTCTTTAATGAATTATAATGACTTGGAGTATACATATTATGCTCTTAAAAGATTTCTTAAAAATACCAAGTTAGTGTAAACTTTGATAATATCTGTAATCATCGGTTGTATATTTTTAGTAATTGTATTATATGTTAATTAATCGTTAAGGAGATTATTAATGCAGTCTGCAGTAACAGAAATGAAGGCATAATTTTTATAATTGTCTTTTATTTAGTACACTCATGGTGTTTGCCCCCGACTTTTAACCTGCTTCTCGATAAATGTCGGATTCCTCAGATTATTTGTGGATGACAATGTTATATGATGAAGCACTTCTTTCAAAATTCGAGTTAAATGTTTTATAAGTTTAATGTTTAAATAATTCTTTGCGCATATATTCCTTTAACTTATCAGGACTTGTATTCCTCTTGATTTGCTTTGGGAACATGAATGGTCCTGAATAAGAACAGGGAGCTTACTCAAGCTATGTTCAGCAAGGTGTGAAATAGACAACACAAGCAGGAAGGGTATACGAAACCCTTTATTTTCAATCTTTTACAGGCACTTCCGAACTTCGGAATACAGAGACCAACCACTTGTGGTCTGAACGTAAGAATATAAAAACTACTAACTAAAACTCTAACTAAAAACTAACTTTGAATTAGTAAACAAGTGCCTCGCACTAAGATTGGCCTTTATTTAAAGAAAGGTACGTATGTAGTACGCCGAGCTGCTAAAACTACGATACGTCTGCAATTATCAAAGAGGGCTAAACCTCTGGCCTTGACGGCAACCAGCAACAGAGTGAAACCTCGTAAAACTACACTGCCAAGCGGCTTGCTTCCTATAACTCCTTTCTCTCTCTTCCTTGGCAAAAAGCCACAACTTAAGTACTGGGCGTTAGCAAGACAATTTGCATAAATAAGTTAAAGCTTTTAATTCGGCCGGAAGTAGAAAATAAGAAGTGATAGTATATATTTAAAATAAAATAAACGTTAGTAAAACTTAGGATCCTTACAAACTAACGTACTAAAAATCCCCGAAATGTACTTTTGCACCTTTGGTCAGAGGTAAAATTTTTGTTTTCTATTTTTAGCGTCATTTCTGAATTTTCGGGCAATTTTCAAATGGGACTTTCAGTTTTGTGCACCGAAACATATGTCGTCCTTCCCGCTGGCCGAATTACCTTTTTTTTTTTTTTTTTTT